ATGAAAGGACCAGAACGGTGAAGCTTCTAAATAATAATTAAAAGCTGCTCGTTGAACAAAAAAGGAACACGTGCTGTATTGCGTAGTTTCACTCTTTTCTGGAGAGAGGTTGCTTAGTCAGCTGGAGATTCTATAGAAGTCCAGGAGCAGTGCTCTTCTTGCTGTACCCAGGTGCTGCACTCTACTCATTACTCATTGTAAACACGTGCTGTTGCACCTTGCCATTGTGCAATGTGCTCTGCGCTAGCTCTTGTGCAAGATAACTTACTTATAAAAAGCAGATGTGGAAGAACCACGACATCTTCATCATTTAGCTCTACTCTCTGAGATCACTTTTTAACGCCGATTATCTTTTTAGAAAGGACACTGAAAATTTCCAGAGGCGTTTTTACCGTAGTTTTCTTAACAAATAATGTGAGCTCGTACTTGTCAACTGATCAGCGCGTGCATCGCCACTGATAACATGAGCTCACACTTCCTTTTAATTTGAAGGTTAGATACTTAAACGCTCTGCTCTGATATCTTTCCTTTCTGGCAAAAAAGTTGGCTTTTATAAAATAATCAACATGTGTAATTATTAGGTAACAATGAGAAACGTACTAGCGGTGGTATTGGTTGTGTTGAGCTTTGCTCATGCTGATTATCATGATGACTGCACAAGGTGGGAGATTCAACCTAAGCAATGGCATTTGTTGAGCCCTAACTCCTCGGAATCTGAAGGGCGGAGTATCTATTACTGACAGAAGTTGGGGATAGGATGTATGGAGTAGGGTATATAACCGAGAGCGAAATAAACCCTATCTACAATGAGATCTGTAACTCTGAGTATAAAGTTCACTATGCAAGTAGATACTTCCCAGATGATGTGGTGAACCAGTTCTCGCAGTTCCAATTATTCGAGGACGGTGTTTACAGTTGTGATTGGTTAAGTGGATTATTTGTTTTCTTGGAATGCGTGGAAGAAGAGGGGACGGAAGAAGGGGGAACGGAAGAAGAGGGGACGGAAGAAGAGGGGACGGAAGAAGAGGGGACGGAAGAAGAGGGGACGGAAGAAGAGGGGACGGAAGAAGAGGGGACGGAAGAAGAGGGGACGGGAGAACAAGGACTGGAGTTGGAGTTCGGTGGCGCTAAACTCAGTTTAAACCTTAACAAGATCCGCACGAAATGGTACTTCTAAGAAAACGGTGTAACAAGAAAACTTCGGGTAGAAGACATCTTTTTGGAAAATGTATCATTCACAATAATTGTAGTACTAGTAGATAAGTAGATAGCATTTGAAATTTCACAAGTTCTGTGTTTGAATTTTTTTCCGTCCAAGATTAAGGCAAATTTCGTCATAACTTGGGATCGGTACCTGAGTTAGCAGTTATAAACTTAACCATTAATTGAGAAATTAAAAATCAAAAAAATTCATTCTCTTCATGAAAACAGGTACAGACAAAACCCTTAGAGTTTAGACATACATATAAGGTGAAATGAAGGTGAAATTACTAGAGATAAACATGTAGGTATAATAGTGCAATACATTTAGCGGCCAGGTAGCGCAGTTGGTTAGAACGCCTGTCTTACAATCGTTAGGTTGCGAGTTCGAAACCCACTGACTGCCTGGTCGTGGGGTGAGCGTCGTCGACGTTCAGCTAAGGATCATGAGTGGTCTATGCAGCCCCCCGGTCTACTCAGCCGAATACTCGAGAAATCGGGTGTGAGGGTTAAATGAGGAGCTGCACATTGCAGCAAAGTCTCGGACGAAGAAAGTATGGTACACACTACCTTAACCGTCACTGGCCAAAAAGATCCTTCGGCTTCCTGTAATTGGCTGGTTGCACTTGTGTAACATTGTGGCTGTTGGAATACACCGAAGTAAAATAAGTGTCTAGATAAAAAAAGGTAAAACTACGAGCGATATAAAAATGCATTAGAGCGGACGCAGCCGATAATGGGTTAAGAATGATTGAACGGGTTCTATAAACAAACACACATAATATCATAGTTTCAAATTATACGATGCACAATCTAGTAGCAGAGAGGAGTTGAGTGTGCACTTCAATGTACACAATTTTTGACCACACAGGGTCTTTCATTAGGTCATTCCAAACCAAAATCATCTAGGTAGCAATTTTGTATCGCTAGTCCCAGTCCTACAGGGCGAAATTTCTAAATTGCCCTCAGGCGCCAATTTGGGATTTTTGTATCTCGGCTTCTAAAAGACTTAGAGACTTGAATGTTGGCAATATAAGGTCTCAAGTGCCTAGTTTTAAAGATATTTACGAAAAACTGTTTTTTGGCTCATCGCAGCCGGAATTATCGGATTATTTTTATATCTCGAGCTAGAAAGGTCGTAGAAACTTCTCCGATATTGAAAAATATTCGCAATGAGCACATTTATATAAGACTTATGAATCATTGTATGCTCTAAAATGCTTATTTGTAGAGATATTAGCAAAAATCGGTAATTTTGGCTACACCAATACAAATTTGGTAATTCGTTTTGTCTTTTTTTTGCAAATTTTCACGTTGCAATTTTCAAGATGCGGTTTGTGGCTATCGATAGGGCTTTATATGCTATTGTATGGTTTTGATACAATCCTTCAGCACCTAGGACATAGGCAATAGGGGTCACAAACCCTGAAATGTCAGGAACTGGGCAGTGGCTGAGATAAATATTTGATAATTACTTGGACTCTTTACTCACATTCATCTTTTCAACGGTTAGTTAGACATCTTAAACCAGTATTGAACGTTGAGTAAAACTTCTAATCCATTTGTAGCTCAGGTCATGTGCCCCAGAAAAACACGCCTGAGTGACAGTGGGCCTTATCGATCATGAGCCGCAAATCACAAGGGCATTCGTACTCTTGGCTTAAATTGGCTCTTCGTTAGTATCATCAATTAGGTTTCTAACTTCTATTATATCATCTGCCTGTCCAGTGTCCATCCGTCTCTTTGAGATTCATTATTAATTCAAGTTCAGTCATTTCGTTTCTGTTCAACTGTAGGCGTAATGAGGGACTTCAGTCCAGCAATAAAGTCAATATCTCTAGATTTAGCAATATTTGGTTTCGCTACTTTTAAGGTAATTGTGTTCAGCAAGCAAGGTTGTAAGTTTCCAGCCCTACGCCCCTACTGCCCCAAAATATTGCCCCCCCCCCACCCCCGGGGCACTAGTAATACTGGAGCACTGGTAATGCACATGGTATAATGCTGATTTTTTGCTCAACATAGCTCATTTTTAAGTTCCTTTTTCAGCAGTGTACCATATCATACTGGCATAAAAACAGATTCACCTCCTTTATCTCTAAATGTAATCTTGAACCTGGGCTCTACAGAATAAGAATTAGAATTAGAATCAAATTTACACAGCAATACAATAATAATAGTAAATAATTTAGCGATAGATACAGGTTATCTAATGTCCATCTCAGCATTTACAATTTACATTGAGTCATAAATTAGAATTATGTGGGGCACAAAGTCACTGAGGGACAGGTATCGTTGGGCCCGAAGTTCTGGGACCCAAAGTTGCAGGTGCCAGAGGTCCTTAGGCTGACAATTGGGGCAAGAGGTTGGTGGATATTCGATAATCTGTAGAGCCCAGGTTCAAGATTATTAGATTATATCTAGAGATAAAGGAGGTGAATCTGTTTTTATGTCAGTATGAATTATGATAGGGAAGACTGCTGAAAAAGGAACTTTAAAATGAGCTATGTTAAGCAAAAAATCAGCATTATACCATGTGCATTACCAGTGCTCCAGTATTACTAGTGCCCCGGGGGTGGGGGGGGGCAATATTTTGGGGCAGTAGGGGCGTAGGGCTGGAAACTTACAACCTTGCTCGCTGAACACAATTACCTTAAAAGTAGCGAAACCAAATATTGCTAAATCTAGAGATATTGACTTTATTGCTGGACTGAAGTCCCTCATTACGCCTACAGTTGAACAGAAACGAAATGACTGAACTTGAATTAATAATGAATCTCAAAGAGACGGATGGACACTGGACAGGCAGATGATATAATAGAAGTTAGAAACCTAATTGATGATACTAACGAAGAGCCAATTTAAGCCAAGAGTACGAATGCCCTTGTGATTTGCGGCTCATGATCGATAAGGCCCACTGTCACTCAGGCGTGTTTTTCTGGGGCACATGACCTGAGCTACAAATGGATTAGAAGTTTTACTCAACGTTCAATACTGGTTTAAGATGTCTAACTAACCGTTGAAAAGATGAATGTGAGTAAAGAGTCCAAGTAATTATCAAATATTTATCTCAGCCACTGCCCAGTTCCTGACATTTCAGGGTTTGTGACCCCTATTGCCTATGTCCTAGGTGCTGAAGGATTGTATCAAAACCATACAATAGCATATAAAGCCCTATCGATAGCCACAAACCGCATCTTGAAAATTGCAACGTGAAAATTTGCAAAAAAAAGACAAAACGAATCACCAAATTTGTATTGGTGTAGCCAAAATTACCGATTTTTGCTAATATCTCTACAAATAAGCATTTTAGAGCATACAATGATTCATAAGTCTTATATAAATGTGCTCATTGCGAATATTTTTCAATATCGGAGAAGTTTCTACGACCTTTCTAGCTCGAGATATAAAAATAATCCGATAATTCCGGCTGCGATGAGCCAAAAAACAGTTTTTCGTAAATATCTTTAAAACTAGGCACTTGAGACCTTATATTGCTTCATAACTTGTATATAAATAAGGGTATTGCCGTTATTTTAAGCCAACATTCAAGTCTCTAAGTTTTTAGAAGCCGAGATACAAAAATCCCAAATTGGCGCCTGAGGGCAATTTAGAAATTTCGCCCTGTAGGACTGGGACTAGCGATACAAAATTGCTACCTAGATGATTTTGGTTTGGAATGACCTAATGAAAGACCCTGTGTGGTCAAAAATTGTGTACATTGAAGTGCACACTCAACTCCTCTCTGCTACTAGAGTATGTAAATAATGAATCTAGATTATAGAGAGATAAAACCGACTGACCGATCTGAAAGCCATTAGACTCCTGAGGGAAGACAGTCTGCACGTTCTTCAGACCGTGATAGTGAAGATCTCTGTGAGCTAACAGTCCCTCAATGTTACGGAGAACAGACTGGCCGGTGGTAAGGTTGGAGATAACGGCTTTGTGTTTCTCGTTCTCTTCGACAACAGCAGCGGGGACTACCGGAGCCGCTTCCTGAAACGTTATATATTGTGTGTTGGAAGTTTACCTCGCTTCTTTTTATTATCAAGTTGAATTTTTGATTAAGCTGGAAAAGTTCCAAGATAGGCCGGGTTTACTTATTTAAATGTCGGAGAGGTATCATGTAACATCACTTTTGTTAGCTTATCGCAAGGTTGAACAATGGCTGATCGTGCCAAACAAATAAAAGATTTGCATTTCACGCACCTCAATTTTCTTGGCAGTCTCAGTACCATTGGAGTCCTTACTCTGGTGCGACTTAGCGGAAGGATCCAGGCTGATCAACTCCCGGTAACCATCTTTACCGTTCCACCAACCCTCCGCGCCTGCCAAACTTATTTATAGTTTCACTGGAAATTTACATTGGGATAAGAAAATTGGCGAATAAGATGGGGGAATTTTGAGATTCTTTTTTCTTTGAAAGAATTGATAAAAAGTATGACAAGTGATATTCCTTCCTCATGATTGATACAATTGCATTGTGATACAAAATCAATAAAAAGTCATGAATATCTTTAATATGGTAAAGGAATACACAAATAATCCATTCGGATCTTATCACGGAATTATACAAAATGAAAAATATTCCAAATTGAAACGACAAAATCAGCCATGATAATTAGAAAATGCCATTCAAAATAATATGATCATTTGAACAATTTATCGATACGTTGGAACTTTCCTTACTCTTAGCTACACAACCGAAAACAATGATAAAACGGGACTTAGTTTGCCTTTAAAAAACGAAAACTTGAATCAATGAAAAACATTTTAAAATGCAAAGAAAGCAAAATGTGAAAATAACACAATAAAATCGCTTACCTCATCGACCTAAAAAATCAAACTATTTCTTTTGATTCAATAGCATAAAAAAGTAGCCGTAAAATTTCAAAATTCAATGCAGACACAGATTATCCACCGAAAATGTCTATAATATAGTCCAAAGTTAATGTCAATGCTCTTTTCGTCGCCACGTATAAGTTTACAAATATCATGAGGTGTTTTCCTTCCATTTTATTTGTCTGTCAAATCGTAGCTGTATAATATGGTTACTCGTCCAAATGGATCCCAACTTGACCTTTTGTAATCTGATCATTCGAATCGATATTTTCCCCTTCGTTGTTGTCTTCAGGCTGCTCTTTCAACTCGATGTCCTGTCCTTCTTTGTTGTCTTTAGGCTGCTCTTTCAACTCGATGTCCTGTCCTTCTTTGTTGTCTTCAGGCTGCTCTTTCAACTCGATGTCCTGTCCTTCTTTGTTGTCTTCAGGCTGCTCTTTCAACTCGATGTCCTGTCCTTCTTTGTTGTCTTCAGGCTGCTCTTTCAACTCGATGTCCTGTCCTTCTTTGTTGTCTTCAGGCTGCTCTTTCAACTCGATGTCCTGTCCTTCTTTGTTGTCTTCAGGCTGCTCTTTCAACTCGATGTCCTGTCCTTCTTTGTTGTCTTTAGGCTGCTCTTTCAACTCGATGTCCTGTCCTTCTTTGTTGTCTTCAGGCTGCTCTTTCAACTCGATGTCCTGTCCTTCTTTGTTGTCTTCAGGCTGCTCTTTCAACTCGATGTCCTGTCCTTCTTTGTTGTCTTCAGACTGCTCTTTCAACTCGATGTCCTGTCCTTCTTTGTCTTTGTCTTTTTTTCCTAAAGACAGAGCAGTGCCTCCAGAGATAACGCGGTTTTTCCAATTTGCAAGACCGAGTCTGGTCACAAGGAACTGCCTGAGGCTAGGTACGGTCAGGCTGTATTTATAGAAATTACACATGATATTGATCGACATTATGTTTAACGACAAAGTGAACAAGAGGGTATGATAGTCGTTCAGTGGGTCTTTTGCAGCGTAGTTTGCTCCAATGTGATAGACTGTGTAGGGAAGGAAGGAGATGGTGAACACAGTTGCAGTGAGCACCACAGTCAGGATTCCTGTCAGCCTCAGGTTCTGTCCTCCTGTTCTGGCAACTTTCCAAGCTTCCCAAAGTAACATCAGGGTAGTGAAGATAACCAAGACGATGGGCAGGATGCCAACTAATAATGCGAGTAGAGGTCGGAGAACAGTACTCCAAATAGAAGCAATGAAAACATATGTGCAAGAATACACTCTGTAATCAAAATATGCTCCTTTCCGGTTAGTGATGAAGATCATTATGTTAACAGCAAGAGAGAATATCCAAATCAGAGCACAAATTAGGTGAGCCCTTTTCCTGGACCAGTCCCGTGCTAGAAATGGGTTTTTGAGAATGATCAGTTTGCTCGTTGTCATCGCTAGGGTGAAATAGATACTTCCGGTGTAGCCCAAACGGAAGAAGTAAGGTTGAAGACAGCACATGGTGCTTCCAAAAACCCAGTCGTTTGAGATTAACGAAACGATGGTTGGAAGGATCAGAGTCATCGCCAGCACCAAGTCACAAACAGCCATGTGCTGAATCATCGCTACAATCATTTTGTGTAGCTTGAAAGCATTGTACTTAATGGAAGCTACAGGGATGATACTATCACCTACTAGGGACGAGAAGAGCAGAAACATGTTTTATCCGGTCCAGGCATATCTTGAAGTGCTCTGCCAACCAAACATAGTCTGGTTCGAATATATCGGTGGGGCTATAACATCAGTCATGGTCTCAATGAAGAGCTATTTCAGAGCTACAGTAAGAAATATGATAAATCAGAAGAGCGGTAATAGTAGTTCCGCTTCCGTGTTCTCAAGCTGTATTTGGTCCTGGGTTTCTTGCTGTATTTTGTTTCCTTCTTATCTACTAACTACCACTAATTACTACTAATCTACTCAGTATTCACTATTCACCTTTGTCTGGGATTTAGGGGAGGGGGGGGGGCGGTTGGGCATTGCTAACGTCAGCAAAAATATCTGTTCATAAACATTTGATGAAGCGTCTCTAAAACCTAAAAAGTCAAATCAACTGAGTGCTCGAACTTAGGAAAGGCTCTGGAAGTAATTATTGCTACGAAAATAATGCCTTCCTCTGAACATCCTTGCCATTTGCAAGCACGGTGAACATCAGGGTGAGAATCCTTGTCACGTTTTTTGGTCAGTTTCGCCGGGGCTCATGTCTCTCCTCGAGGGAGCATTAGTGTCTACAGAAAAACTGACAAATCCTAGCGAAGTCCAATCCGAACCACATCTTCCATCAGAGGTGGTGCTGGGTCAGCTGGTTACTGAACGGATTGGCCTGGAGAATGGCATAGTCCTATTATTCTCAAGTTAACCACAGAGGGGGTCAGGCGCTGTTCGCTCACGGCTGGTTCTTGGAGCCAACACCCTCAGCCCCACAGAAGTGGGAGCACTGTCGGTGGTGGATCACCCAGAGAACGGACAGTGTCTCTCCTTCTTTCTTCTTGGACTTGCATTGCTGCTGGCGAGTCAGCCAGTAGCAATGTAGCATCTCACTCACTCAATCACATCAGCAGTTCAAACACAGAGACTGGCACTCTCTACTCCGCCACGGAAAGTGGACTAAATAACCCATCCAGTCATGGAAAAATGACATTATTGAACCAGCCACAAAACCATATAAACCACGGAATATCACTAAAACTCCAAAGTGAGCGCTCTACAACAGGAAGAGTCTGGAAAGCGCCAAGTCAAACTAGCATAGAAATACCGCGCACGAACATATTTTCACGAGCAACTATAGACTACTTCACAAACGGCATCACATGACGTCAAAAGATAGCCAATACGTGAAACCAAAGATAAACCAAAGGAACATCACACCAGGGTTCGAGTTTAATATCATCTCAACTCGATCCTCCTAAATACTAAAAGCACGACACAACCTCGAGGATCACCAGGGCAGGCCCGCTAGCAAAATGCGGTGGTAGTTCCTCGAAGTAACGCACTACCTTTTCCGGGAGGGTGTTTCGACACCTGACTCCAGACGGGTTCTATGGAGTCTCCCGATGACGGATCATTATGGCAGATAACCTTAGGGTCATCGCCGATCCACCGGGTCATAACTATGTTATGTCTTTTGGACGTACCGGGCTCTGCGAACCCCATGCCAAGCAGAGCAAAAGGTACAAAGCCTGCAGTCCAAAGGAGCTCCATCAGACGTTAGCCACAAGGCGGACGTAGCCTCCTTGCTTATCCGGGGAGGTAGAGTGAGCGCCCTCGACAAAAAAAAAAAAAAAAAAAAAAAAAGCACGGTAAACAGGTTAACTTAGCATCAGGTGACTGTATTTCGAGTTTCGTATTTATGTGATGCAACTACGGGCAAGTATCTACTCACAGACATGTTTCAACCTACCGGCAATGTTATCTCCTTATTTGGATGTAAACAAACCGATACAATAGAGCATTCTGTCTCCATTGTATCAGGCGGTAACTATAGTAACCATTGTTAGAGCTGCATGTTTACTTTTTGGCTCTGCACGTGTCTCACCAAGATATTGTACGGAATATTGTAAGTTATTTTTTCTACATTCAATGTAGAAGGAATGACTGGAATGATCACACAGCTACCTTCAATACCATAACCTAAGAAATTTTCACAATGACAAAACAGTAATTAACTAACATTTTTGATTGGGGTCAGGGTCAGGGTCAGGGTCAGGGTCAGGGTCAGGGTCAGGGTCAGGGTCAGGGTCAGGGTCAGGGTCAGGGTCAGGGTCAGGGTCAGGGTCAGGGTCAGGGTCAGGGTCAGGGTCAGGGTCAGGGTCAGGGATATCGTTCAGCCAAAAGGATGAAACAAAGTAAAAATATCGCTGTCGTCCTGACGACGGGTATTCTGCAAGTAATATAGCTGTCGTCCTGACGACGGGTATTCTGCAAGTAATATCGCTGTCGTCCTGACTACAAGTAATAACAAATAGCACCAACCTACTCCAGGAACAGGTCCTCTGGTTTCAGGGGAAGAGATCAGCATGGAAGTCAATGTAACTTCTTCTGGGGACTATGAAGGGTGTGGGGCTGATTCCCGTCTGGTGCAGGATCATTAGCCGGTTAACCTGAAGAGGGGTGGGCTTAGTTTCTGATAATTATGATATTATAATAATGATAATCTCCACCACTGACAGGAGCTTCTAATTGGAGGTACACAGTGTCATTATATGGGGATAACGTTAAAGTTCTTACTATACAAGTAAGTGACTCACGCAGCAGATAGCTTTCGTGTTTATGCTGTATAAATATAGATAAAAAACACACATAAATATGACAAATCCAGAAATTAGATAGGATAACCCTATACCTCTCCTGCCATAACGTTAAGAGTTGACTTTGGAGCAAGTGTGATTCCCTTGATGACATCATTACAGTGCTCCTTGCTGTTCTCCTTTATTGTTCCCTCATTTCCAACTTCGCAATACGTGAAACCGTGGTCCCCCTGTCAAATGTATTGGTTTTAGGTTTATTATCTTTGTTAAGAATATGTAACCCGAGTAGCAGCAGGTGCTAAAGTGCAATGTTGAGTCAGAGCCTATGGGGATGATACTACATCTTCTATAATTCTTAAATAAAATTATTATTTTATAAGAACTAACCTTAGCGTACAAAAACAGCATCCGCGTGTCATGATCATACTTAACGTGAGGAACTCCTGAGCCGGCTCCCAACCGGAGGGTGCTAATAACGCTCGACAAGTTTGACATATCCACCGACTGAAATACTCTGTCTCGGTTCTTGTAACCAGCAAGTACAAGTTTATCAACACCCAGCCACTCGTGGTTAACGTCTTTTCCGGAGTCGAACAGTGTTGCTGTGGCAATGGCGTTCCGTTTCCTGATGTCCAGTATGGATACCTGGGGGATGGTAGATAGAAAAGTTGCTCAAGGAATTGAATTATAATTCCACTACTGGGTAAATATTGTTATGAAGTTTTAGTTATTAAGATCATGAAGGACGGTGAAGAATTCTATGTGCAGGATCTCTGAGTCAATATACAGGGGGGGGGGGGGGGCCGCAATATACAGGGCCCCCCTCTATAAAACTCCGAATTCCGTACATCCTGATTAACCTAATAAACTATTTTATTCTTTCCCCAAACTGTACGGTAAATCAGGGTTTGACAGGGTATATCAGCTATATAATGATGTCGATATAAAACCTACCTATATTAATCAGGGTTTTACTGTATATTATAAAAACAACACCCCCCCCCACACTAACCTCGCCACTCCTATTAGCAGCACAAGCCAGAATAACAGCCCCCCCCCCCCACTAACCTCGCCACTCTTATTAGCAGCACAAGCCAGACTAACACCCCCCCCCCACTAACCTCGCCACTCTTATTGGCAGCACAAGCCAGACTAACACTCTCCCCCCCTCACTAACCTCGCCACTCTTACTAGCAGCACACGCCAGACTAACACCCCCCCCCCCCAACACTAACCTCGCCACTCTTACTAGCAGCACACGCCAGACTAACACCCCCCCCTCCCCCACACACTAACCTCGCCACTCTTACTAGCAGCACAAGCCAGAATAACAGCCCCCCCCCCACTAACCTCGCCACTCTTATTAGCAGCACAAGCCAGACTAACACCCCCCCCCCCCCCACTAACCTCGCCACTCTTATTAGCAGCACAGGCCAGACTAACACTCTCCCCCCAACACTAACCTCGCCACTCTTACTAGCAGCACACGCCAGACTAACACCCCCCCCCCCCCCCCCCCACACACTAACCTCGCCACTCTTACTAGCAGCACAAGCCAGAATAACAGCCCCCCCCCCCCCCCACTAACCTCGCCACTCTTATTAGCAGCACAAGCCAGACTAACACCCCCCCCCCCCCCCACTAACCTCGCCACTCTTATTAGCAGCACAAGCCAGACTAACACTCTCCCTCTCCCCCACACACTAACCTCGCCACTCTTACTAGCAGCACAAGCCAGAATAACACCCCCCCACACTAACCTCGCCACTCTTATTAGCAGCACAAGCCAGACTAACACCCCCCCCCCCCCCCCACTAACCTCGCCACTCTTATTAGCAGCACAGGCCAGACTAACACCCCCCCCCCCCCCAACACTAACCTCGCCACTCTTACTAGCAGCACACGCCAGACTAACACCCCCCCCCCCCCACACACTAACCTCGCCACTCTTACTAGCAGCACAAGCCAGAATAACAGCCCCCCCCCCCCCCCACTAACCTCGCCACTCTTATTAGCAGCACAAGCCAGACTAACACCCCCCCCCCCCCCCCCACTAACCTCGCCACTCTTATTAGCAGCACAAGCCAGACTAACACTCTCCCCCCAACACTAACCTCGCCACTCTTACTAGCAGCACACGCCAGACTAACACCCCCCCCCCCCCAACACTAACCTCGCCACTCTTACTAGCAGCACACGCCAGACTAACACCCCCCCCCCCCAACACTAACCTCGCCACTCTTACTAGCAGCACACGCCAGACTAACACCCCCCCCCCCAACACTAACCTCGCCACTCTTACTAGCAGCACACGCCAGACTAACACCCCCCCCCCCCCCCCACACACTAACCTCGCCACTCTTATTAGCAGCACAAGCCAGACTAACACCCCCCCCGGCCCCACTAACCTCGCCACTCTTATTAGCAGCACAAGCCAGACTAACACTCTCCCCCCAACACTAACCTCGCCACTCTTACTAGCAGCACACGCCAGACTAACACCCCCCCCCCCCCCCCCCACACACTAACCTCGCCACTCTTACTAGCAGCACAAGCCAGACTAACACCCCCCCCCCCCCAACACTAACCTCGCCACTCTTACTAGCAGCACAAGCCAGACTGCCATCATAGCTCCAGCTGACAGTACTACAACTCCTCTCCTCAGAGTAAAGCTGCTTCTGGGTGCTGATATCGTAGAGACGGAGGTGGGTGTGGTCAGCTATCAGTACCAGGTTAGCTGCTACCGGGTGGAATCTTGTCATGTGCACCTGCCAGAGACATTTTAGGTGGAAGTTTTACCTTACCAGTACTTTAAAAACTACAATTTGAGGAAATTATAAGTAAAAGGGCTGTAGAGTCTGGGATTTTGGCTCAAACCAGATTGAGCTACTGGAAGTTAAAATCCCCAAAAAAATTGCAAAATCGTATTGTACCATTTTCAGTTTTTGAAGATGAAATTTCCAGGACCGAAATTTTACAGTTTTGACTGAATTTATCACTCGCAATCAATTAGTAAGTCAACTATAGATGGCGTATGACACGATTGAGGTACTGGAAGTTTGATTTCGGTCCTAGATGACAGAAATTCAATGTATTACAAAATAAAAATGAACTTGGTGCGGGTTGGAGGAGGAGTTCTAGGTGTGATTTTATTACCTGGCCTCACGAAGTGTGCCATCAGAACCAGCTGGGCTCCAAATGGGTACGTTCTTAGAAATAACTTTGTAGGTCTTGCCATATAATTTATATTGATAGATTTTACAAAAGGGGACGAAATGGTTGTCGAATCAGACAAACATCTTGTCCACTAAATCACCTGACATGTAAACTTACTTGTTCAGAGACATTGATAGTAGCTGAACAGGTTAAAGAGTCTGTGTTCCACAGCTTTACCATTCCATCTCCTGCGCACGTGCACAAACAGTCTCTGAAACAGGACGTTAACTTCTCAACACCCAATTATAACGTCATTATCACTTAATTTAGTTTTACTAATGGGCACCCATCTTCATTGTATTGGAGCGGTTATTTATTCTATTCAGTGACCAATCATCATGTAGCTATTAACTTCACTTAAAACTATCCTATACAAATACAATAATAACACTACAGTACTGTATTATGCATATAATGATGGAATGTTTGCTGTTATTTTCCAAAATACTTCTCCCATAATACGCATGTTGACACAATGGTGCTAGTAAATTGATGTAACTCAAGCTTATAGACTTGTAACCATGGTAACTAGCAGTGTAACTATGGTAACTTGTAACTCATGCTTATAGACTTGTAACCATGGTAACTAGCAGTGTAACTATGGTAACTTGTAACTCATGCTTACAGACTTGTAACCATGGTAACTAGCAGTGTAACTATGGTAACTTGTAACTCATGCTTATAGACTTGTAACCATGGTAACTAGCAGTGTAACTATGGTAACTTGTAACTCAAGCTTATAGACTTGTAACCATGGTAACTAGCAGTGTAACTATGGTAACTTGTAACTCAAGCTTAAAGACTTGTAACCATGGTAACTAGCAGTGTAACTATGGTAACTTGTAACTCAAGCTTATAAACTTGTAACCATGGTAACTAGCAGTGTAACTATGGTAACTTGTAACTCAAGCTTATAGACTTGTAAACAATTCTATAACCACGGAAGATTAACATTTATGTCCTTTCACGTAGAATAAATGCGCTAGGCTCAATAAAAGTCTAAATAATAAATAAAAAGACAACAGAAAGTACTGACTTGTTAAAGGGGTTGAACTGGAGGGAGCGCACAAACTCACTGTGCCCCCTGAGGGATCTGGCCTGCACGTTACCCACCTCCCCGACATCAAGCACTCCCAAACTTGCAGCCTCTCCTGTGAACACTACCTTGTCCACTCCGCAGGCAATTGGGTCGTTTTGACATAGCTCGCTTATTCGTATCCCAAAGGCTGTTTCCTCTTTGTTTAGCTTCTTTGGTGAGCCATTTTTGTATTTGGAGGCCGTGAATCTGCCCATAGGCCTAGATGGAATATGATCAGTGAATATCTAACTCAAAACTCGATTAAATCAAATTATTATATATCAACCAGGGACAAAAGAAAATCGCGACAAGCCAAACAGACGACATATAAAATTTGTCGCAAAGAATGGGAAAAATCGCGATCCCGCACATGCCGCGATTTCATTTTGTCCCTGATATCAACGGGCTACAGAGGTATGAACAGTAGGGTAACGACTGCAGTCTGTAACCAGTACCAACTCTGTACTGCCCACCGATCTGTACTGCCCACCTCTGCCCACATCCGGCCGAGTTTTACACTGATTTCACAACTATACATATAAAAACAACTTATCAAGGATTTACATTCTTAAGGTGTATATTAATGTAGCTCGGAATTATTAATTTCCTGTTCCTATTCCTGTTCGCGTTTCTTTTGTCTACTATAAAGGGAGTGACAACTAATAGGTGCAAATGTTAAGTTTTGACGAAATCCAATAAATGTTTTAAGTGAAAGTGGGTTTTTGCTGTCGGAAGTATAAGTGCCTATCCGACAAAAAGTGGCGGCAAAAACCTTCAAACTAGGTAGCAAGAAAAAGTTCAGATGGTCGACAAAACTTAGACAAGGAATAAAAGGGCAAATCTAATATATACGAAATTTTAAATACATTTTCCATATAATAGGAGAGCGGCACAATGTAAACAAATATCCACTGTTACTACTATGTAAGTAATGTCAGCAAATAAACATGGTAAAATTTAAAAATAGCATATTTTTAACTCCATCCTCTAATACCTTGGAAACCAGTATGCAAACAAAAAATATGCTAAATCATAAATCTAAACAATGCAAAGAACTAGGGCAGAGCTCCTCAAGGCACAAACACAGTGTGGACAGCGTGTGAGAATGTGTGTGTGTGTGTGTGTGTGTGTGTGTGTGTGTCTGTGTGTGTGTGTGTGTGTGTGTGTGTGTGTGTGTGTGTGTGTGTGTGTGTGTGTGTGTGTGTTTGAAGAGCTATCAGTGTGTAATGTTTTCTCTTATTCCACACATGTACGTAATATATACACATAACATATAACGATATAAAACTGATAACATAATATCCAGCAGGAGGAATGTCAGTACGTGATGATATCAGCCCCACCAAGTGTAATTACATCACACAAGACCTGCAGGCTGCAACGTGAGCACATGACTAGTATTTGAGGAATTTTCAAACGAGAGCTGCTTATGGCATGCATTATCCTGTGTTTAATTTCGGAACTGCGAGTAAAAATGGAAATTTCGAAATATTTATACTGAAAGTGTTACGTCATTGAACTATGCCATTCTTCGATGAAAATGTTTAAGATACCACACGACGTTAACTTCAACGAATTTTTTGAGTCTAGGAACGGTTTTTTACCAAATACAGCCACGACGGATTTTTAGTATTTCGAGAATTTTGTATAGTCGTTTTGTTTGACAAGCAGACGGTTTTAAAACCGTTACCCACGCATTTTCGTAACCAAATACAGTCATTATTTTCAAGAGAGGGGTTGCACTGACGTTATGGCTTTTATCGAATCTAAATACTTTAAATATTTAATATACCGATTTGTTTAACTTCCGCACATCTTGATCTTCATAAGTTGATATTTGATAATCTTGGTTTGCAAAGATCATGGATTCAAAATATTCTGTCCATGAAGTTACCTAAAAGCATTCTCGAAACTTCTAAGCGAAATTAACTATACTGCACAGTATCCACCTCAATCAAACCATATTTAGCTCCCACGTTTCTCACTCCTCGTTGGTCAATACAAATTAGAACTCCCGCTATTTTCGCTTAACACCACAGACACGACAACACACTACACTTCTTGAAATCACAATCCTTGTTCACTGCTGCACAATGCACAATGCACAATGCACAATGCACAATGCACAATGCACAATACACAATGCACAATGCACAGTGCACAATTTACATTGCACAATGTCACGTTCATTTTATGGATTCGTGTACAGTATTACTATTTTAGTATTGTATTTTTAGGGTTGTATAGTTTTCTAGAATAGTTTTCTAGAATAGTTTTCTAGAATAGTTTTCCGTCGTATGTTCATTTTTATTATTGTGATTATGAACTAATTTTGTTTAGCTATTTCATAATTAAAAGTTAATAATATAAGGGATATAAGCACTAATTTTGTATTGCCTCAGATTTACATTTTGAATTTTTGATTAAAATCTTTTTATAACATGAATATGATGTAGATTGCAGTTACATTGAAACTTTGAACAGTTTCCTTTGCTTGAAAACTTGAAAAGAGCAGTTTCCCTTGGTCGCATACAAGGTCAATAGTGTAAACTTGTGACTATTTATATCCCTAAATTTCAAGGAATCTCTGTAAACTGAAAGCAGCAATCCAATGCTGTGTATACAGAACTCGTGTGCCTTTTAAAGTTCGTATTTTTTATATCGTTTAAATATATTTACACAATCCCTATAGATCAAGCCAGATATAAGATATATATTCTTCCTAACAATTAACCTCGGATTGAAGAGCAGTTAAATGAAATGGAACAAGTTACCACGCCACTGCCTTGCAAATGGCGGTGCATGGTAAACAGCGGTAGATTAAACAGAATTTACTAATTAATTGAGAATTTGAGTGAAGGAAATATGCCTGGCAAATATAGCTATTTTGTAAAAGGAGAAACATGGATCAAGCCTAACAGCGTACACATCACGAACAACAAAACTGTTCAAAAAATGTATGGTACTGAAGTCCAGAAAATTACCAATTTACCATGCCAATTAAACGTGTTGGCATTTATGTAATATAATTTCATGCTTGTCATATCTGGAGTGGAGGAAGAGGGAGCTGCAATGATCCTGTTATTCCTGCCACCTTTCTTTTACTGTAACTTTGAGTAGTACCACACATATACAGGGTGTACCACAGAAAGTGTGACTTTTTTGAGAAATGATACAAAATATTATGAAGGAGCAGTTGGTATTTAAATGTAATTCTGGTAGTGCTGGAGTGGAGCGCTAGCGTAAGTTTCTTTCTGGGGAACCGGCTGCAGAACTCGGTCAACAGTTAAGAAGAAAAAAAGAGCTACACATTACACTGGGGCACTGCAGGGGCAGTAAAAGTAACGAAATGTATATTTAACAATTTCTCTAGTTCTCACACAAGCCGGTAGTGAGTAGTGACTATGAGTAATGACCAGTCACGTACCAGAGACATTGTACGGAATCTTTAACGTGTGTTGAAAACGTTGCAATGACATAGTTTCTAAAAGTGCAACGTAGAAACTGCAGTATGCACCGGTTCTTAAAGTTCTCTGGTATAGTAAGAAATAGAATTCAATATGGAACGTATACCAGCTGTAAACTGTACAAGTGTAAAGCGATTAAAGCCTGCATTGTGCATTGTACATACTACATAGGAGACTATGATTTATACTAATTTTAACAATTCTTATAATTCTTCTGCTGTGTATATAATCTTAAAATGAGTACTTGTAATTTTCAATATTCATGGGACAGTGGACACGGAAAAGTACGCCAATTTAGAAATCTGTAGGGTTTTCACAGCAAATGTTAAGTTTAGCGCTAATATATGAACTCAAAAACTAAAAATCAAAAACTAATCCAATGTCAAGTAATGAAGAAGCTGAGGAGTGAGGACTGAGAGACGAAAACACAGGGAATCATTAAAAATTAAGTAGTTCTAGATTTATAACAGTAGATTGTATAAGTTAGTCAGTTAGATAGTTCAACACTGAATAGCTCTAAATGATTCCTCTCGTATAAATATCACTAGCTTTAAATAAAACGAACAATGTGACTGAGCGAAATACGGAATGGATCTGGGTTCTAAGCGGAACAAGTTATTAGTAAACATACTACTAAGTACACTACTAAACACACGCATTACATCATACTACTTGACACACCTTACTACTTATAATGCAGAACTAAACACACAAAACAGAAGTAAACGGAGAGTAGTCAGTAGTCATCTGCATCTCTACATGATCAGGCTACAAGCTACCATCATGATACCCGGTATCACATTACATCTGTCAAATGTTACACTATAAACACAGTGACATCGCTTAAAACAGGAGGCAAGTAAAGGGAGAGTAGTTGAACTGCTGCACTCTACACATTTGCTACACTACCAGGGTATCACATTACACCTCTGCGTGTCCAGTCCACACCCCTCTTACACTTGTAGGGTGTAAATTAGTGGAAGTTTGTGGCAGGTAGCATTACATTACATTACATTACCAACGTTATTACCAACATTATTCCCACTTCATTTCCGGTCAATTACCGAGTCTAATAGAGACTGATCTCCTGTCTACCAAAAAGGACTGATAATGGGAACCAGATAATGGGAACCTGGAAGCTATGCTTTTAAAGATAACACTAAATTAACGATACTAAGGTAGATTTATTTTTAACGTTGAAGCAAGTTCTAGTTATATATTAATGTCACTATTGTGACGGTACATTAGAACTAAACAAAGTGTGAAGGGCCTGAGTATACATTTATTTCAATTTTAAACACCTGGTTTATTTTGAGATCCCGACAACAGAGGGAACAGATGACAATCCGGCAAAAATGTAAATAATTCCAGTAAGGAGAGAATCAAGGGGATGAAGACTGACGCGGACTCACGGACTGTCTCACTGTAGTAACGAACAATAATTAATGAAATTTAATCGTACATTACTGTCTTCATTGTTTAGAGATGTTTAGACACAGTATTGTCATGATAATTTGGTATTGTATCAATTACTCGTGATGAGGAGATTTTTATTTTGGCGTGAATTTATTTAGAAGTTAATTCAGTAAAACAATTGTTTATTCCTACGACAAAAAGCAGTAGGTTAGAAAATAATTTCATAATTTATATTAATTATATTTATATTTATATATATATCAATTCAATTTTTACTGAAACAAAACGCTCGGAAATTAAGGAACAAATGGATATGTTAACCGTTAATTGCACACCAAATATTTAACAAGATATCCTAACACACGGGACACATCCCGACCTGTACCCGACCTGTACCCGACATGTACCCGACATGTACCGGGTACCCGACCTGTATCCGACCTGTACCCGACCTGTACCCGATCTGTACCCGACATGTATCCGACCATGTACCCGACCATGTACCCAACCTGTACCCGACCTGTACCCGACCTGTAACCGACCTGTACCCGACCTGTACCCGACCATGTACCCGACCTGTACCCGACCATGTACCCGACCTGTATCCGACCTGTACCCGACCTGTACCCGACCTGTACCCGACCTGTACCCGACCTGTACCCAAAATGTATCCGACCATGTACCCGACCTGTACCCGACCTGTATCCGACCTGTACCCGACCTGTACCCGACCTGTACCCAACCTCTATCCGACCTGTACCCGACCATGTACCCGACCTGTATCCGACCTGTACCCGACCTGTACCCGACCATGTATCCGACCTGTACCCGACCTGAACCCGACCTGTATCCGACCTGTACCCGACCTGTACCCGACCATGTATCCGACCATGTACCCGACCATGTACCCGACCTGTACCCGACCTGTACCCGACCTGTATCCGAGCTGTACCCGACCTGTACCCGACCATGTACCCGACCTGTACCCGACCTGTACCCGACCTGTACCCGACCTCTATCCAACCATGTACCCAACCTGTACCCAACCTGTAACCGACCTGTACCCGACCTGTATCCGACCTGTACCCGACCTGAACCCGACCTGTACCCGACCTGTATCCGACCTGTACCCGACCTGTACCCGACCATGTACCCGACCTGTACCCGACCTGTACCCGACCATGTATCCGACCTGTATCCGACCTGTACCCGACCTGTACCCGACCTGTATCCGACCTGTACCCGACCTGTACCCGACCTGTACCTAACCTGAACCCGACCTGTATCCGACCTGCACCCGACCTGTACCCGACCTCTATCCGACCTGTACCCGACCTGTACCCAACCTGTATCCGACCTGTACCCGACCTGTACCCGACCTCTATCCGACCTGTACCCGACCTGTATTCGACCTGTACCCGACTATGTACCCGACCTGTATCCGACCTGTACCCGACCTGTATCCGACCTGTACCCGACCTGTACCCGACCTGTACCCGACCTGTACCCAACCTGTAACCGACCTGTACCCGACCTGTATCCGACCTGTACCCGACCTGTACCCGACCTGAACCCGACCTGTACCCGACCTGTATCCGACCTGTACCCGACCTGTACCCGACCATGTACCCGACCTGTACCCGACCTGTACCCGACCTGTATCCGACCTGTATCCGACCTGTACCCGACCTGTACCCGACCTGTATCCGACCTGTACCCGACCTGTACCCGACCTGTACCCGACCTGTACCCGACCTGAACCCGACCTGTACCCGACCTGTACCCGACCTGTACCCGACCTCTATCCAACCATGTACCCAACCTGTACCCAACCTGTAACCGACCTGTACCCGACCTGTATCCGACCTGTACATGTACCCGACCTGAACCCGACCTGTACCCGACCTGTATCCGACCTGTACCCGACCTGTACCCGACCATGTACCCGACCTGTACCCGACCTGTACCCGACCATGTATCCGACCTGTATCCGACCTGTACCCGACCTGTACCCGACCTGTATCCGACCTGTACCCGACCTGTACCCGACCTGTACCTAACCTGAACCCGACCTGTATCCGACCTGCACCCGACCTGTACCCGACCTCTATCCGACCTGTACCCGACCTGTACCCAACCTGTATCCGACCTGTACCCGACCTGTACCCGACCTCTATCCGACCTGTACCCGACCTGTATTCGACCTGTACCCAACTATGTACCCGACCTGTATCCGACCTGTACCCGACCTGTACCCGACCTGTACCCGACCTGTACCCGACCTGTACCCGACCTGTACCCAACCTGTAACCGACCTGTACCCGACCTGTATCCGACCTGTACCCGACCTGTACCCGACCTGAACCCGACCTGTACCCGACCTGTATCCGACCTGTACCCGACCTGTACCCGACCATATACCCGACCTTTACCCGACCTGTACCCGACCATGTATCCGACCTGTATCCGACCTGTACCCGACCAGTATAGTACCCGACCTGTATCCGACCTGTACCCGACCTGTACCCGACCTGTACCCGACCTGAACCCGACCTGTATCCGACCTGTACCCGACCTGTACCCGACCTCTATCCGACCTGTACCCGACCTGTACCCAACCTGTATCCGACCTCTATCCGACCTGTACCCGACCTGTATTCGACCTGTACCCGACTATGTACCCGACCTGTATCCGACCTGTACCCGACCTGTACCCGACCTGTACCCGACCTGTACCCGACCTGTACCCGACCTGTACCCGACCTGTACCCGACCTGTACCCGACCTGTACCCGACCAGTACCCGACCTGTACCCGACCTGTATCCGACCTGTTCCCGACCTGTACCCGACCTGTATCCGACCTGTACCCGACCTGTACCCGACCTCTATTCGACCATGTACCCGACCATGTACCCAACCTGTACCCAACCTGTACCGGTGTACCCGACCTGTACCCGACCTGTACCCGACCATGTATCCGACCATGTACCCGACCTGTACCCGACCTGTACCCGACCTGTACCCGACCATGTACCCGACCTGTACCCGACCTGTACCCGACCTGTACCCGACCACGTACCCGACCATGTACCCGACATGTACCCGACCTGTACCCGACCTGTACCCGACCTGTACCGGGTACCCGACCTGTATCCGACATGTATCCGACCTGTACCCGACCTGTACCCGACCTGTATCCGACCATGTACCCGACCTGTACCCGACCTGTATCCGACCTGTATCCGACTATGTACCCGACCTGTACCCCAACAAAAGCCAGACTGCAGTCTGCACCTGTGTGTCAAGATACCTTTAAAACTGAAATGTTCACTTTTCAAATCTACCTTTAAAGCCTCAAAATAAAACGTTCTATAATACGTAAAGAGAACTGGACCAAAAATACAGAATCATTATCTATCCAGATACCGCAGTCTTACTCGTGTAAATATTCCTGTAGAGCTTGCTTGATAGTTCCATTAAACATCTCGCTCATCCTGAAAACAGGAAACAGACAAACAGCGTGAGTGACTCCAGGAAGTACCACAAACTCCAAGAGCCGCCCAGCTCTTCTCAACCGTGTGGCTAGCCTGGCGGAGGACGTGAAGAACATGTCAAACTCTCCCTCGATAATGATAGTCGGAGGGAACTTAGCAAGCACCTCATCGCTAGCTTTGCCTGGGTAAAGAAGAGGATCTTCAGCTTGTTGGGTGATGTCAGCAGCGATCATCTGCCAGACTCGTCGCATTACCATGTGGTTGTTTCTCTCTTCCAGCATCATTGCTGCGGGATCAGAAAAGCAGTAGTCATCCACCATGGCTATACTTGGTAGGGCCAGCTTAATAAGGTGAGACTCGTTGTTTTGAGCCAGCAGGACACACGCCCCCAGACACACATACCCTCCGCCGCTCTCTCCACCAATACAGATCTTCTTGGGGTCCACATTCACTTGCTGTGCGTTGTGACAGACATATTTTACAGCTTCGTAGAAGTCCTTGACGTTGTTGGGACATTTTGTCTCCGGAGCTAGCCTGTAGTCCACGTTAAACACCACCACATTGGAGGATAATGCTATGAAGTCCAGGAAGGGTTTGCTGCTGTTTGCTGTACCTGACACACATCCTCCCCCATGCGCAAAGATGTAGGCAGCATTGTTTGTTTTTCCTACCAAGGTTTGAGGGGTGTACACTTCGACCAGAACGTCAAAATTTCCATCGTGAGAGGTTGGAACTTTAAATTGAGTTACGGAAATCTGCTTGGCTGCCTCCTGGAATGGTGGAACCATCTTTACCATCATTGACATTCCTGCGTTGTTTGCCCTGATCATTGCAAGGAGTTGATTCAGAGACTCATCGTCATCTTTAAGGGAGAGCTCCTGTATCTTCCGTCCTATTTCAGCTGGGGGTCCAGAGCTCTGTATTTGCTTGATTTGAGCGTCGATTTCAGCGACTTGGCCCTCTGCGATCCCTTTGAGAGGGAAGTTAAACAAGTTCTTAGATACAACTCGTTCCATGATAGCTGTACAATCCCTCAATCACACCACAAAAAGCAAGAGCAACAACAAGAAACGTTAAGGTCAAAGACACTAACGGTTTATCAAATTCACCAAGTTTTAAATAGTATTGAGCAGGACGACATTAATTTTAATTGGATATCTAGAATATCAATCTAATTAAATGTAATTAAGATTAGGTACTTTACCTGACTTAGGTTGCAGTATACTGATAATGCAGAGTTCATTGGTTGATAAGTAATTATTTATTACTATCCATTATCTTTAGAGGGGTCTGTTATCTGGTAAAATTTAGAAAATTGATTACTTTACCAATCATGGCACATACTGCGGAACTTCACGAGAATTACTATTAATTACTATTTCGCTTACTTTCTGTGGTCACCACAAGTCAGTAAGTCAGTGGAGACACCAGGTCACCGGTGCGGTGGAGACACCAGGTCACCGGTGCGGTGGAGACACCAGGTCACCGGTGCGGTGGAGACACCAGGTCACCGGTGCGGTGGAGACACCAGGTCACCGGTGCGGTTGAGACACCAGGTCACCGGTGCGGTGGAGACACCAGGTCACCGGTGCGGTGGAGACACCAGGTCACCGGTGCGGTGGAGACACCAGGTCACCGGTGCGGTGGAGACACCAGGTCACCGGTGCAGTGGAGACACCAGGTCTCCGGTGCAGTGGAGACACCAGCCACCATGTCACCGGTGCGGTGGTTAATCTCAGCAAAAATTTCATCACTCAGCTTATGGTCTTATCATGGTCAAGAGGTTATATTTTATTCGGAATGAGTTATATTTGGCTACAGTTTGGTACCGATACACAGTGTGCGATATGTTTGATTCGCTTGATAATTAAAATATGAGAAATACGAGATACCACCGTTGTCTGGTCTCTTTAGTTTAACACAAAATTAACATAATATCCTTAACGACATTCAAAGAACAACAACAGGAATAAATACTTGAACAAGAATACTGCAACAAGAACACTGCAACAAGAATACAAGAATACAAGACTACACGAATTCTCAATACACTTAAAAGACTGAAATAGGTAGGTACATCGACACAGGAAGATCAAGTATAACTGTCAGTCGCAAAATATGGCGACGAAGAAACCAAAAAAGGCAATCGGCTCTATCACGACAGCGGGGCAATTAATAAAAGGAGTGAGGTGATGTATTTGTAAGCAGCTCCCTCCGTTTGGGATAATGGCTAATCTCTCTCTGGGGCAGCAGCTCGGTAGCTACAAGCAGTACTCAGACCTCCGCAAGCAATACTCATGACACGGGGCAGACCTCCGCAAGCAACACTGACCTCCGCACTTCCTGTACATTCATTCAGCTATATATGTACTCAGTGTAGATACACATACATTATTCAGTGGAGTATACGGTAATTAGGGAGCCCATGCACAATGTGAGAGGTGAGCTTTATTACTGACAAATTGGAAAATTGTGATTTGAGATGAGGGCCAGGGAACAGCTGGTATTGTGCATCTTCAGCGAGATTTATACAACAAAATGTATGATCAGGATCATAGGTTACCAATTCTCGATTATATCAACTACCAATCGGAAGTAAAACGTCTCAAAGGAACGTTTGATGAGAAAATGATCGTCAGTTCACTGAAACTCTAATGAAACTGCTACAAAATGTACATGATACACTGAGATGACCCACCCCAACAATTACCATTCAGATTTCATATTATGCAAGCATATACTCATATAGACTGTGTACGTCTAATGTATAAGTTGCTATCAATGTCCCGATCTGAAATTGCCAATTTGATACATAGGTGACACAGTTAAGTATTAGAACAAACTGACCGAATGATAAATACCCTAGAACAGCAGCAGATGTGAGGTGCTTACCAAGATCTCGCGATATTCTCACCAAACTTCCAGATTTGGTGAACACCTCGGCGGATCAGATAAGATAGGATCCGTTAAAAATAACATTTTACCAAGTTCAAAAAGTCCGGTATTAAAAAGGTCTGGTAATGTAAGGAGCTAGTATAGGTGGTATGAGATGAATAATCTAGGAAACAACAAATCACGTGATATTGTGCGCAAATTGCCCACAAAGTCAATAAAACGCTTAAATTGTGTACGATAATATTTAATGTGTTAGGCAGGACTGTAATTATGTCGGAATTGATCATCGATTTGGACGTTTAACATTCAGATTTCAGAATTAAAATTCGAGAATGTAACTTAAATTGGTTCAGGTTGTTTCTCGTCCACTGCTCAGAGAGGTTGACTTTTCAGCAGCCAGTGTAACGAAGTTAAATAATGCATACCACTTGTCCACTTTAATAGCGTTACACTAACATCAAAGATCTGGAGTCTGGACATGCGGCATGATTTTCGAAAAATTGCATTTTATAATGGCACCCCAGTAATTTTACCATCAAAGCTTCGGCACTTTTCGGAAAAACCCGAAACTTTTCTGGTTCAACTTTTATTTGGTCCGGAGTTTGCAGGTCTGAAATTCGACATTTAACCGTATGTAATTGTAAAATGAAAAATCTACAGGTTGTTTAACTGATAACGGGAAACGGAAAACCATCACAATTTACAAAGCAGGGCAGAAACAGGGAGCAGTAAAAAGGATGTAATAGTGAAGGAAGTAGAAACGCCAGACTGTAATATAAATTTAAGGAAAAACCACAAACCAAAGCTGAACAGTTCATGCGATCACTGAAATATCTCAATGTAAGGGACAGCGCGCGCACGCACGTGTACGTGTATTGGCTCAAGAGTCAAAATGTACCTACATATGTACATTCAACATAGCAGCTAGCGCGCTATCGCGTGAGAAATACACGCGTTGGTGTATCACTATCACTATTAAAAATTGTGTACACACTAAATGTAAGCAATCATACACTTCTGTTTTCATGCATAATGTTACATTACACATTGTCATAATTGTGCAATGTGTACATTAAGTTTTGTTGAATTTTTGCACTTTCTTGTATTCCTTCATAGTCATACTCATACAGGAGTTTAACACAATAAATAACTTACAAGGTTAATGTCTGAGTTAACACTGAGTTTCCTGACAATACAAGATGTATAAATCTTGAATAACATTATAACCCTCATAGAAATTTGTGCGATTAGATTTAGATCGTCAAGATGATAGATCACAGATTGCAGATGAGTTGGGCTAGTTGGGCAGTGGGCAGTGGGCGTGAGTATATTGGAGGCAGAGTATTCAATACTGTAACTTTATAACATCAGATTCCAACACATTGTGTGTAGAAGCTCAAATCCCTGCAAACTATCATATCATCTAACTATATAAGTATAAGTGACTGTATAAGTATAACTACACATACATAAAACTCTAATACATCTAATCGTGACTAAAGTGACTAGATTTTAAAATTTTCATTATGGAGCATGGTCATGGATTACGTTCCAGCTTGATGAGTTATTCATTTGCTAAGATTAACCCACTTTTGTTCTCTATAATATAGTTATACGATTCCGCGCTCATCTCACTTACAGTTACATGTTGCTTCTGGATAGATCTTAACGTAAGATCTGGTGTCATGGTAATTAAATTTTATATTTTCACTGTTTAATTTCAATCTTATCTGTAGCTGACAGCAATCGGTGATTTATTATTTCATATTTTTGACTGTAATTAGAAATAGATGGGATTGTATTAACGTTGAGGTCTACCGTCTATGCTGCCCTTTTTACAAAGTTTATAAGCGCATAATGTTGGCCGCGCTTTCGTTGATGTTATAATTTAAAAGGCACCCCTTTCGGACTAGAAATATGATATTCTATTTATCAAGCTCTACTAGTTCCATTCCATGAATCATTTTTAAAATCGATGTAAAAGAGGTCGAAACTCCCCGGCAACGGCATAAAAACACAAAAAAACGAAACTATAAGAAAATAGCTAAGTAAATATGTCACCGACTACTACAACTGAGTAGCTTAAAAATAAAAGAACAAAGGTTATACGTGCTACAAAAAATAGAACGTGACAAAATAAGCTCGGCTAAGTTTAATGCAGAGTATATAATGTGCTTGCTGACAGATTTGTTGTATAACACTGTAATAATACACCATGTTATACACCTATAATCCTTATCTATCTTCCTCCTTTGCTTGAGATAAGGACTTCAAAACAAGCAGATGGTTTATATTTCAACGGTAAAACTTGTTATCAGTTTCTTGAATTTCAAGGACTGTGAAATTATGAATGTTATAAATGAATAGCACTGACGTTGAACGTTGGCCTCTAGATTCCGATACGAGGCTTGAGTTTAATTCTTTTACAATTTCGAGCTTTTAAGCTTTCGGCGGCCCTGATATAGTTCTTTACACTTACAGGACATTTCATTTTTGTTTAGATTGTACGAAACAATGAAACTTGAGCTATCAATATCGTCGAAAGTTACCAATTTTTGTTGAAACATGACATTCAATTTAAAACAACATAACAAATAACAATGATAATGTGAAATACATTATAAAATAAATAATCACGTTTGACAATCTTAATACCAAAAATATTTTCCCTTTTCTCAACAAATTTACATGAAACCATCGCAATCAAATGCGAAAGGATTACTTGTTGATCACACTGTGTGTCACACTGGATCCTCATTATTATCATAGTCCCGTTGGATTTTAGAAACCATATCTCGCATCACGAGAGGCTGGTCGATAGGGACGGTATAATCTTGGGTAAGCTGAAGCTGTGTAACGACATTTGTTAATTTTATATCTCGGGTCTGCAGAAATGTGCAGGCTAAATTTGTATTTCTACCGTAGTCTGTGATCTCCCATGATACCGAACCATAGGGACCTTTCACGGTCATGTTTTTATTAAAACATTTGTTTTCAAAAGATTCCCTCATTTCTTCAAACTTTTTGACTTGTGATGCTACTTTTTCTCTGCCTACCCTATCGAGGTGCAGCTCGAATGTTTTATTAAAATGATCAAATATTTGAACATCTATAACTTGATATTTCAATATTCTGGCTTTAGTTTCCTCTGACATTGTTACTTTTGGTTTGGAGCTGACCATACGATTTAGATACACAATGTCAGTCATATTCCAGCCAAGATATTCTTTAAGAAGGATAAGACTTTCGTTCATTCTGTCGGTTATCATAACAAAGTCCATCTCTTGGTCCAGATGTTCTATAAAGGCGTTAATCTTCTCTTGAAGTGTTGACCCCGCCATACTGAAGATATGTGACAATAATAAGTTTTTATCGTACTCGTTTAAGACCTAGAAAATCTTGTTGTTGTTTTTATAAAAACCGGTTCTTCTCAAAATTTCTACCCTTAAGTTATTACACAGGTATGTATGTAGAATATTTGAAATCCACTTAAAAATTCGACAGAGGCCGGGCCATGGTCGAAAGTAAAATCAAAGTATGAATCTCAAACCTTTCAGAAAAAGCATACCATCCCAAATCTGCAGCTATACCGTTGATTGAATAAACAGAGTGTGGGGCATCATACTCGGTGGGAGCCGGCTGTTGATCCAAATAATGTCCAATCAGTTCGTCCATTGAGACTTTGCCGTACCTCTGAGGAAAAATAAACTGAAAAAATACAAAGGAGAACAGATGTTTGCCCAAGTAAAAAAATTGTAGGCTGAAAATAATTAGTTTTACTACGATTACAAACCTTTCGCATTTTGCGCTCACCACCAAAAAAGCTAAAAGCAGACTTAAACTGGGACACTGGAGATCTGACAATAGTAGAGTAAAAAGAGGTTTCTTTGGGCATTATCGTGTGTTCAGCATCTGGTTGGAAAGTGCCATGTTGACACTGTATGTTGTAAACTGTTCCCGGCCTCGGAGGTAGCAGTGGTCTGAAAGGTTGACTTTAGTTACTAATTCTTATTTAAGCCAATCGTTGAAACGTTAAAATCAAAGATGGCAACATAATAAATTTACTTATTAAGTTTTTGGGATAAGATTGAGTTAAAGTTTAGAAATAGTAAAGAACACTTGAAACATAATTTCTAACGACCTCATTTTAGCTGGATCAATATTCAGTGCTAGTGTATGCGGATGGTCACTCTGCTGAACAACAAAGTTCAGTCTACTTCTCACTCCCATCAAATAGAACGTGTTCACTAAAGAGGATGTGCCACATTTGTGAGTTTTAATGAACATCAGGTTTCGTTTATTGGTGGTTGTCTGTCTTGGAGTTGAATTTTGATAGTATCTGATTGTTTCGAGAACAGATCGCACTTGGCATTCTCCTAGCTCCTTGTCTTCGCATCCCGGGAATAGTGTGATCTCGAATTTATGATTCCATGGCAACTGAGACCGACACAAACAGACTATCAAAATGCAAACAAGAGCAACCAACACAAGGTTTTTAAATCGAGTAATACGCCAACGTCTCAATGTTGAACTTGAACTCTCTTTGAATGGCGCCATCATTTCTTCGAAATAAAGTTATGAACCGTTCTCTCTTCTGCAGTTCTAATTTTCAAACGGACGTAAGCTGTAAGGATTTCGGGCTGTTTTATTGAATTATTTGTGCCACGGCCTCATCTAAAATGATGCTCAATTGTTAAGAAATTAAGTAAAAAGCTAACTAATCAGCTATCACACAAATTGTCCCGTCACATGGATAACAAGTCACAACAACGTTGGCAGAACCCTTCCAGTGAAGTACCTAAACTCCTACCTATAGCACTGAGTGTTTACTACATTTACAGTGGTACACCCCATATAAATTTACTATTTGAACTCCATGTGGTAGCGTGGTACAATCCATACTACAACTATTCTTCTCTCTCTCTCTCTCTCTCTCTCTCTCTCTCTCTCTCTCTCTCTCTCTCTCTCTCTCTCTCTCTCTCTCTCTCTCTCTCTCTCTCTCTCTCTCTCTCTCTCTCTCTCTTCTCTCTCTCTCTCTCTCTCTCTCTCTCTCTCTCTCTCTCTCTCTCTCTCTCTCTCTCTCTCTCTCTCTCTCTCTCTCTCTCTCTCTCTCTCTCTCTCTCTCTTCTACTACAATTATTATTATTATACTTTACTACTGTCCGGTGTGGTCTACTTTTGTGAAGGGGCACTGCTCCTTCATTACGTGCGACCCTCATCACATGCCTATTGCTAGAAGTATAAGATTGAATTACGATTGTAAATAATCCGGGTATTTCTCTTCTCTCGCTATCTCTTAATTTTCAGTATCATTTTAAGTCTCGAAACTTTACCAGATTACAAGAAACTGTATTCGGTAGTGTATCATAGATAAATTTGTAAGGTTATGTCTGTAATTCTATGTGACAATGTATCACTATTCACTGTTGAACACTGAACAATTAGTTCTCCTTTACATGCCTGCATATATTAAACATAATATTAATATTATTAAACATAATATTAATAAACTCACCCATCTAAAAGCAGATCTAGTTGATGCTGATAAGGATACATGACAAAGTTGAGCCTTCTTCTAACTCCTCTGAGATAAAAAACATCAACTATGGTGGAAGTTCCACACTTGTGGGTCTTTATAAACATTAAGTTCTTTTTAATTAATGTCTGTTCTGGATGACTTGAACTTGGCTTATCTTTTGACTCGAACTGTTGGTCTGAATTTGTTAATGTCGACATCACATTCCCTGATGTGTCTGAAACTACATCATCACTGCCAGAGATATTCATTATCGGCGAACTGACCAGATAGGAGCCTGTGTCAGAAATCCCCACCCTTTTTCCTTTGTCGTTTGCTAGTTCAAACATCAAGAAAACCAAACATGTAACCAATATGAACACGACATAGCCAAGTTTTGAACCAGAGTTCAGTGAAGGTACCATTTCTGATCGTTGCTTGTTGAGGATTATTATTTTATAAATTAACTAGAAAGACCGTTGTCACAGGGAGGAAGGTAATTGTACTCTTCCATAGTAAGTTTTTATCCCATCATAAAATATCCATCACAACCAAAGATACAGCCGATTAAAATGTAGCTTGCACTGAACACAACGAAATTACCACAAAACCGATCAAAATGCCGTTCCAACAATCTTCGCACGTGCACGTGTGCATTACAACACCGTTGCGCTATGCAACCTTTTGGCTTTTACCTAACTTCTTATTTAAATTTCTCGTCTAATTTGCACGTGGGCGGTCGTACAGACAGACAGACAGACAGAATAATTCTTTTAATTATAATAATGAATAATAATTCGATAAGGTTGGTATTCGGTAGTATTTATTGTCCTCAAAGTGCTCAAATAATAAATTAGCTCTAAACTATAGTCGTAACAAATGACAAAGGAAAACTGAAACTAACAACTTGCCAACAAAATGACCATGAAAAGTCAAACTATAAGTCAAACTAAGAACTAACTCAAAAAAAGGTTGTATGTATGGCTATTTGAATTCGTCAACTCAATTCTAACCTAACATAACATCTGCTGAAGAATAAGATGACGTATGAGTTGTGTAACTGTTATGTGTAATTCAACGTGTAACTATCACATTCACATGGGACTGTGTCATCTTACTATATATAAAGCGAGACGATATACCTTATCGGACCTTATTTGGACGGACATTACATGAACGGACATAATTATGAACGGACATTAATATGAACGCTCGAGCCTCGAAGGCATTCAAAACCATCAAAAATCCGAATTTTTTTCAATTGTTTTGACGTTTTTTTAATTTCAGCAAATGATTCTTAAATCCATTTTTATACAGTAAGTAAGAAAAGCAGTCATTAAGCAGTACACTTTTACAAGCCATTCGGCGTGAAGTGGCTTTATCTTAGACAACTAAAGGTTAACCTTAACATCACGTGGAGCTTTCCTAGCACTGTTTCATTACCGCCCCTGAGTAATATGAGCTATAACAACGTCGGACAATGTCCTTGGCAGCACGATTTACCGTAATTTCTAGAGGCTGGAACAAGTTTGTCATGTTGGCGGGGACTAGTTCATGAACTATGTTGTTGAGTGCCATAATTTCGTTGACTTTTTTCCGCCAAGTGACCCTTGAAAACATCTGCATCATATACTAGTAGAGTTTTCTGTGCCTCCGGCAGACCAAGGAGAACCTTTCCGTCGTTAACTTACGGCACAATAAAGTTTTCAAAGTTGTCATATTCTGGACAAAATGTTCGAAATGGAAAAATTTTTGAAAAAATTTTAACGGACTTTAACTTGGACGGACATTAATTGAACGGACTTTATTTGAACGGACATTAAGATGAACGCTAGGGCCTCCAGCGTTCAAGTAATGTCCCTCCAAATAAGGTCCGATAAGGTATATGGATGTGTTTATCCGTACCATTTTACTGACACCAAGGCATCAAGTTTAAGGCGAATTTCCGCAAAACCGCAAAAGATATACAATTGAATTTTTTTTGACTGGGTCAAATGCTTTAATGGCCTCCAAGTCAGCATGAAAAAATAAAAAATTGGCCAAGCAATAAGAGTTTTAGAGCCCAAAATTTGGACCCCCAAGTAGTGTCAAAAACGCGAATTAAATAGATAATTATTATTTTAGTCTCTTGAGTCTTGACACCATTTTAGGGTTATACGGGTTCCTGCTAGTGATTATAATTTACTTGAAACCCGTTATAGTAGTCGAAGGCTTTATTAGAACATGAACAAATGAATAAACCTTATAGATATTGGTCAGTGTAACTTTTTTGTGAGGGATAAATGTTTAGGGTTTATTTTATTGGTGTATTTATTTATTTGAAGCCTTTATCATTATGTCATGAATATGTTAAAACCATTTATAAACAAAAAATACGAACGAATAATCGATCCAAAAATACAGCAAAAGATAAAATTCGAACAAACGATTTTTAACGAGCTGATTAATAGACGGTTTTCATGAAATAAAAAGTGTGCAATATCTGCAGTACGCTCCAACAATAATCTTTGAAATTTTCCAACTCATGCAAAAAATCATCACGAAATAAAAAAAGTAGGTACAAATCTATGATAAAAATAAGGTAGAAAAGTTAATTCAAACAATAAAATATTAACCCTATAACTCTATAACTGCTCTGATGAGGTACAACTACACTTGTGGGAAATTAAAAACTAACGCATGCGCCGACTTGATTGACATTTTATCATAACAAAATTTGGGGCTTGAGCCTTGAAGAGTTCACTGTCACTGATTTGTATGAGTCTCCCCTCAGAAAGATCCTCTCGGTAGGCCCCTCAAGCTTTTTTCGATATAACACGCATCTCATAATTCAATCTCTGCTTTTAACGCAAGTTTAGAGACTTTCCCATTTTCTTCTCAATCTCATATCTTTCTGACCGACTCATATTGTCTCTCTTGTTCCCGTACTCTTTCTTAATATCCCTCTCTAACCCCTTCTTGGACAAGTTATTTCTTCCTCCTTTGTTTCCGCTGGAATATTCTCTGGAACTGCTGCTGCCGAAACCAAGGTTTAAGGTTGGTTTACCGAAACCTGAGTTAAAAACACCGTGTTATTTATTATGATAAGAGTAAAAGATAGTGTTATTGATTATGATAAGAGTGAAAATGAAAGAATAGAAATGCTTAATGTTTTACCCAGTGAGGATAAATATGTTCATAAATATGTTTACTTCAATAGTTTGCATTAAAACTCAGATTGACACGTACGCCTATATGTCAACTAAATTATGGCTGCATAACCATTAACCAATGCCCTTGTATCCCGTATGATATGCGTGAAACCACAACGTTTGGTAAGTGTCATATATTTATAATTCTAAACCTAAAGTGTGGACATCAGTTGCAGTTATCTCAATAACTCACATTATGTAATATGTATGTTAAGCCCTATTTGGGGGAAGAAAATGGCCGCGGTAAATCGGGGTTTGCGGTAAATCGGGGCGTGTTAAATCGGGGCTTACCGGGTTTTACTGTATTAGATTCTAACCTGGAGTGCGTGCGAAGGAAACCAACTGGGGACCATCTGTATCAATCTCATCTAGAGACAGCTCTGAACCTGAATCACTAACAAAACCCTCCTCTTCCTCCTCCTGGTGAAATTGTCCAGCTGGGACAGCAGCGTCCAGCAGTATCTTCTCACTCATGATACTTTTAGGTGAGCATCCTGCTTGAGAAACACTCTGCACTTTGAACGAGTATTCCATTCCCTGCTGTAAGTCTTCCACAAGAAACTGTAGTGAAGCGGAGCTAGTTTTGGGAAGGTGCACTGATCTGATCAGCACTCCAACCTCGTAAACCATTAGTTTGTACCCGGTAACATTCTGTTCACCGTTACCTGTTGAGCTCAGACTGATTTTCAGGGAATGGGATGTTTTAGAATTATCTACGTAGACTGGCCTGTTGGGTTTTCCTGGTAGCTCGAAATATTTCTCACCATCCACTGTGAAGATGCTGGTGTAAGCAAGGCTTCCATCATGACACTCGGAACCATTGGAGATGGCAAATTTCTTGTTGGACTCTTTGCTGTTTTCTTTGGAGTAAAGAACGAACGAATCAAACACAATCAGTATGCTAACCAGATCGTTTATCTTCTCATCTTGTTCACCAGAAGCAAGCGATGAAGCTGAATCGAAATCACGTCTACAGAGACAATCAAAGGCATCCTTCAAATCCTTGCTTTTAAAAGCGGAGGTGTTGAAAGTAAAGGACACAATAACATCTTGAGGGGAGTCAGCACAATGTTCTATATCATCACCTAGGTACACTCCCAACCCCTCAGTTTTAGCATCGTCCATATACCACTCAACTCGCTTCACGTTCTCCTTGATGACCGTCAGGTGGTGTAGCAAGGCGTGCGGGGAGAAACGTGATTCTTGCCACTTGTCAATAACCATGATCCCAGAGAGTGACGAATCATCACTCATTGTAGGCTGGAATTCCTCTTGAAACTTTGCCCAGGCAGCTTCGGTGAATTCAAGGAGTATTTCAAGGTCTTCTCTGAGAAATTTGGAAATTTGTACTGATTCTTTTGCTAGGAGTGCCCTGCATTCGTTCATTCGTTCGTTGTAACCGTGTGAGACCTCTTCGAACAGGGAACTGATGGACTCGTCCATGTCCATGCTGATATGTTTAGATTTTAGTCACCAGAAAGCAAAATTCATGTTGTTTCGATTAATAAAAAATGATTTTTACGTTAGATTCACCGGTGAGTTGGACTCAAATCGATATTGGACCACTAAACGGGTACATTTAGATACGATGCAAAGTGAACTGACTAACATTTTTAGGGCCTGGAGAAAATATAACATACAAAGAGAAGGCCTGGAGAAAATAATTTAAACAAAAAAGTTCATGCAGTAAATAATTTTAAACATTTTGAATAAAACACCGGTTGAAAGCTCGCACTGATTATCCAGAATGTTCTAGAATATGAGCCATGGAAATGTCCTTAAAAGTGGGCACGAAATTCAATCATGATTTTCTGAGGACAAATCTACAGGAGTGTTATTCGGTCAGGTAACCCAATCACTCAATCACTGCACATGACCCCATCTAGCATGACTATCTAGCAGCTAGCTTAGTGCAGCTGTAATTTGAGACTCCAAACTTTGCACAATAACAAAAATCTATCCAAACTTCTCAAATGGCAGAGAGATAAAATTACCATAATTTTTTTCATGTTTTATTCAGATACATTTGGTCCATGAAACTTTGCCAGGTACAAAGGATTTCACAGAATTCGTCTGAAATTCTAAACTCATAGATAAGATTAGAAATGCGTAAAACTAACAAGAAATAAAATCGAGAAATAGCGATAAAATTTAAAGTGAGTTCCTTCAAAAACCAGAGGATAATGGACTAAAAATAACAAATGATAGTTGATAAAATCTCTGAGGTCATATAAATCTTTTTGGCTTTGCGCCAATGTTCGTGATTCTCCTTTTGCTAATACACGTACGAACATTCTAACATTGTGAGAATACTTATACTGGGGCTGGAGACTGGAGAGGTCATTGTTCTGGTAGAATGTAGCAAGATATTTTGAACAATGTACATATAACTATATAAACTAAGACTGTGAGCCCTTTATAACTTCATGTCATGTACAAGTGTAACTAATGAATTGCTATTCTAGGAAACTGAGCATAATGTCAATGTAATAAGTGAAATTCCAAATATCGGTTTATGCTGGATAATATCGGAATTCGATCAGGCTAGAATATCAGGGAAGAATTTTATTTATCATTAGGGTTAGAGAAAATGATCTAATCTGGTAATTAATGGATGAAATGGACATAAAAATGACTACGGAAATGTAAACAATGCTTACAACTTTAGACTATGACGTTTGACGCCAAATTATTGTAACCCAGTAACCTGGTTTCAAAGTATAAACAACTAAAAGTCGTGTGCAAACTACAATTATATGGTTCGTGAAACTTTCTTAAATGATAATATAGAAGGTTCAATAGTGATATATCATGTTACAAAGTCTCGTCTGGGTGAGACAAGTTAGACTGGATAGAACATAAGAAATTATAAATATTAAGTTGCATGTTGCAGAAGTTTCGAACAGTATACAGATAATTTCAGCAATGGTAATTGTCTATCTATAAGGATAGACATTTATTAGACACCCTCGAAAAATGAATAAACCAATTCAATAGATAAAAATAATATCCACAAATTATAAATATTAAAGATATTTCAGTTACACAACTTAAAACATCCAAATTAGAGCACAACGAGTGACCCGGACTCTAACTGTGGGTCCGATTAGGTATAAGGTTCTGCCCACACTACGCCTCTATTCCCCGAATGTCTACCCACACTACGCCATGTTTTGACGGGCCACATGGCGTGTGTGAATCGTTGTGTGAATCCGTTTTTTTGACCCACGCCATGTGGCCCGTCAAAACATGGCGTAGTGTGGGCAGACATTCGGGGAATAGAGGCGTAGTGTGGGCAGACCCTAACTCTACGTGACATATTAGAGACATAATCAGGTCAAGTTATAACATTATTATGTCACATTATAACATAATACTGTCACATAATTATAACATTATTATGTCACATAATTATTATGTTATCATGTTAGAGAAACGAGCAGATCAAAGTGACACCACTGATGTTGTGTCATTCTAGAATATTCAGTATCACGAATGCGATTATAGGTTTTAGAATATTAGAGGACAGATCGGATATCATAATTAATCGTGGGGGTTATTGTAAGTAAAAAGGGTAATAAATAATAAAATCTTTTCACGAGGCAAGTCGGAAATCTTCCAGAAAAATATTTATAAGGATTTTTACTTTAACCCATTAGGGACGATAGGGTCGTTTACGACCCACCTTTTCTAGAGGCTATAGAGGACAAACCATAATACTAAACGCAACGAATCTTTCGCACATATGCTCAAAATTTATTGGGCTTCATTATTGACTTTCCAGTCGAGACCCAATTAATTACTAACAACTAAATAATTAGGCTAATTAGTCGTCATAATTAGAAAATATTTCACTTTACTTCTTGCCTTGATTGGGACATTAAAACTTTATGTAGGCTTATTTTGTTGAGGACAAAATAGTTGCGGGCAACGATTTCCTTGAGACATATGAAAAGCCCGTGATAATCAGATGTTCACAAACAGAGCTAGACGCTGTTTACTAACTGCGGTCGCATACGACCCACTCGTCCGGGTCGCAAACGACCCATCACGGTTTTTCGGCTTTAACTTCTGAAACAAAGACGTTAGGATAAAATAAAAACTGTAGCATAAGTTAAAAACATATGGTCAATACTGTGTAACTCTAACCTTTTAAAAATAAAGAATTTGGGTCATTAACGACCCACTCGGCTCACTTGCTTATTACTACATATGTCCATGTAACTTCTTGAATTCAGCCTAAAGCATGACATCATAAGTTCAAAATCGCCTCTCAGCAAGTGATAATCATCATAAACTGCGAAAAATCGGTTAAATGGGTCATTAGCGACCCACTAGGACCACAAAATTGATTAATTAAATATAATGTTGTCAAACTTTTACAAATATTAGTATAAAAACATGTTATATCTTGGTCATTACTCCTGTACGTTGATTTAACTTTTAAAATCGATCAACTGGGTCAATAACGACCCACTCGGAAGTTGAACCACCTCATCAATTATTATCAGTATCATGCTGTTCCACCATCAAGAAAGACACTCGTAGGTCTTAATTCCACGCAAACCACAGGTGGCTGACTACTAGCCCTTCTGAGATCCAGGGCCAACTGAAGGGCCGTCATCACTCATCAAAGAGCTGCGAGAATAACCCTACTGCATATGCCTGGAGTTACGTCCTGACTATAATACTATGGTGCGTGGAAATCTGTACCGAGAGGACCGTGGCCGTGCCGCAAAAGAAAAGGAATCGGCCCTCGTTCCTAACTTGCTAGGTAATAGCCATGCTGTTGTTGTTGCTTATTAGATTCTGTTACCTTTTTCGTCAATTTCGAATCTTGGTAAACGACCTGCTACAACCCACCGCTTGAGACCCAGGGTCCCACGGTGATCAGATCATGTCACTCAAGAAAAATCCCCTGAACGAAGTATACGAGATATCATGTAACCTTGGGTAAATACTGAAAGACGAGTGGTCAAATTGCATATTCTAATCCAACATGCCAATATGTTTTTTTCATTCCTAGAAAGTACGAGAATAACTAAACAACTGCTGCATTCAGATGGCTACATCTACAGCTCTGTGAAGAAGGACAAGGAAAAAGCCCCCCCCCCCCCCCCCCCCCCCCCATTTGGCTGGCGGTGCTGCAACCTGCAATCTCTCAGACAACTACCTCGTTTTGGGTAACAAACCCCGCAACAACGAGGCAGCTTTCAAAACGAAAACAAGTATTACGTAATCGGCCGAGAGGGAGGGGAGTTTCCAAATGATTAAGCTTGTGTAATTTTGACATAATAGCTATGTGGTGGGGGGGGGGGGCGTAAAAATTGTCCAATAAGTGATTACGTAATATATGAACGGCCCCTAAGAAGTAAAGAAAGGGAGCTGCGAAGAGAGTAGATGCAGCCATCTGAAATCTGAATCCAGCAGTTGTATAGTTCTTCTTGGACGTTCTAGGAACCGGGAAAAGATAGGCATGTTGTTTGCTGTCTCACGACATTACGGTCGTGTACTAACAGCTGATAAACTCACCTACCTATCAATCCAATTCTGCCCATTATTCGTCAGTCATTGGGTGACGTGATCTGCAGATTACCGCGAGACTCCAGATCTCAGAAGGGCTAGTAGTCAGCCACCCGTGGTTTGCGTGGAATTAAGACCTACGAGTGTCTTTCTTGATGGTAGAACAACATGATACTGATAATTAATGTCGTGGTTCAACTTCTGAGTGGGTCGTTATTGACCCAGTTGATCGATTTTAAAATTTAAATCAACGTACAGGAGTAATGACCAAGATATAACATGTTTTTATACTAATATTTGTAAAAGTTTGACAACATTATATTTAATTAATCAATTTTGTGGTCCTAGTGGGTCGCTAATGACCCATTTAACCGATTTTTCGCAGTTTATGATGATTATCACTTGCTGAGAGGCGATTTTGAACTTATGATGTCATGCTTTAGGCTGAATTCAAGAAGTTACATGGACATATGTAGTAATAAGCAAGTGAGCCGAGTGGGTCGTTAATGACCAAAATTCTTTATTTTTAAAAGGTTAGAGTTACACAGTATTGACCATATGTTTTTAACTTATGCTTTTTATTTTATTTTATCCTAACGTCTTTGTTTCAGAAGTTAAAGCCGAAAAACCGTGATGGGTCGTTTGCGACCCGGACGAGTGGGTCGTATGCGACCATAGCTGTATCTTTTAAAGTAAACGAGATACAGATTAGCTTTTTTGGATATCTCATTTTTGCTGTAAAGTGACCTAGTGTTTTAAACGGCATCAAAATCGGCAAACTTTAAAACTCGTCGTCCCTAATGGGTTAAATAGAGACGAAGCGTAGATTTTAGAGAGTAATCCATGAAAGTAAAGGTAGCATTCTTGTTTGCCTGCCAAAAATAGCATACTGAGAATCTGTAAAATAACGAACAACGGTACACAAGTATCAAAGAATTTTCA